ACACTGTGACCCTTCCTCCACCCCACCCTACACTGTGACCCCCCTCCACCCCCCCTACACTGTGACCCCTCCTCCACCCCACCCTACACTGTGACCCCTCCTCCACCCCACCCTACACTGTGACCCCTCCTCCACCCCACCCTACACTGTGACCCTTCCTCCACCCCACCCTACACTGTGACCCCTCCTCCACCCCACCCTACACTGTGACCCCTCCCTCCACCCCACCCTACACTGTGACCCCCCTCCACCCCACCCTACACTGTGACCCTTCCTCCACCCCACCCTACACTGTGACCCCCCTCCACCCCACCCTACACTGTGACCCTTCCTCCACCCCACCCTACACTGTGACCCTTCCTCCACCCCACCCTACACTGTGACCCTTCCTCCACCCCACCCTACACTGTGACCCCTCCTCCACCCCACCCTACACTGTGACCCTCCTCCACCCCACCCTACACTGTGACCCTTCCTCCACCCCACCCTACACTGTGACCCTCCACCCACCCTACCTCCACCCCACCCTACACTGTGACCCTTCCTCACTGTGACCCTTCCTCCACCCCACCCTACACTGTGACCCTTCCTCCACCCCACCCTACACTGTGACCCTCCTCCACCCCACCCTACACTGTGACCCCCTCCACCCCCCCTACACTGTGACCCTTCCTCCACCCCACCCTACACTGTGACCCCTTCCTCCACCCTACACTGTGACCCTTCCTCCACCCCACCCTACACTGTGACCCTTCCTCCACCCCACCCTACACTGTGACCCTTCCTCCACCCCACCCTACACTGTGACCCCCCTCCACCCCACCCTACACTGTGACCCCCCTCCACCCCACCCTACACTGTGACCCCCACCCCACCCTACACTGTGACCCTCCTCCACCCCACCCTACACTGTGACCCAGTCCACCCCACCCTACACTGTGACCCCTCCACCCCTCCACCCTACACTCCACCCCACCCTACACTGTGACCCTCCTCCACCCCACCCTACACTGTGACCCCTCCTCCACCCCACCCTACACTGTGACCCCTCCTCCACCCCACCCTACACTGTGACCCCTCCTCCACCCCACCCTACACTGTGACCCCCTCCTCCACCCCACCCTACACTGTGACCCCCCTCCACCCCACCCTCCACCCCACCCTACACTGTGACCCCTCCTCCACCCCACCCTACACTGTGACCCCTCCTCCACCCCACCCTACACTGTGACCCTTCCTCCACCCCACCCTACACTGTGACCCCTCCTCCACCCCACCCTACACTGTGACCCTCCTCCACCCCACCCTACACTGTGACCCTCCTCCACCCCACCCTACACTGTGACCCCTCCTCCACCCCACCCTACACTGTGACCCCTCCTCCACCCCACCCTACACTGTGACCCCTCCTCCACCCCACCCTACACTGTGACCCCCCTACTCCACCCCACCCTACACTGTGACCCCCTCCACCCCACCCTACCTGTGACCCTCCTCCACCCCACCCTACACTGTGACCCCTCCTCCACCCCACCCTACACTGTGACCCCTCCTCCACCCCACCCTACACTGTGACCCCTCCTCCACCCCACCCTACACTGTGACCCTCCTCCACCCCACCCTACACTGTGACCCCCTCCACCCCACCCTACACTGTGACCCCCTCCTCCACCCCACCCTACACTGTGACCCACCCTCCACCCCACCCTACACTGTGACCCCCTCCACCCCACCCTACACTGTGACCCCTCCTCCACCCCACCCTACACTGTGACCCCTCCTCCACCCCACCCTACACTGTGACCCCCCTCCACCCCACCCTACACTGTGACCCCCCTCCTCCACCCCACCCTACACTGTGACCCCCCTCCACCCCACCCTACACTGTGACCCCTCCTCCACCCCACCCTACACTGTGACCCCTCCTCCACCCCACCCTACACTGTGACCCTCCTCCACCCCACCCTACACTGTGACCCCTCCTCCACCCCACCCTACACTGTGACCCCTCCTCCACCCCACCCTACACTGTGACCCCCCTCCACCCCACCCTACACTGTGACCCCCCTCCACCCCACCCTACACTGTGACCCTCCTCCACCCCACCCTACACTGTGACCCTTCCTCCACCCCACCCTACACTGTGACCCCTCCTCCACCCCACCCTACACTGTGACCCCTCCTCCACCCCACCCCCTCCTACACTGTGACCCTCCTCCACCCCACCCTACACTGTGACCCCTCCTCCACCCCACCCTACACTGTGACCCCTCCTCCACCCCACCCTACACTGTGACCCTCCTCCACCCCACCCTACACTGTGACCCTCCTCCTCCACCCCACCCTACACTACACTGTGACCCTTCCTCCACCCCACCCTACACTGTGACCCCTCCTCCACCCCACCCTACACTGTGACCCTCCTCCACCCCACCCTACACTGTGACCGCCCTCCACCCCACCCTACACTGTGACCCCTCCTCCACCCCACCCTACACTGTGACCCTCCTCCACCCCACCCTACACTGTGACCCTCCTCCACCCCACCCTACACTGTGACCCCCCTCCACCCCACCCTACACTGTGACCCTTCCTCCACCCCACCCTACACTGTGACCCCTCCTCCACCCCACCCTACACTGTGACCCTCCTCCACCCCACCCTCCACCCCCTCCACCCCACCCTACACTGTGACCCCTCCTCCACCCCACCCTACACTGTGACCCTCCTCCACCCCACCCTACACTGTGACCCCTCCTCCACCCCACCCTACACTGTGACCCCTCCTCCACCCCACCCTACACTGTGACCCCTCCTCCACCCCACCCTACACTGTGACCCCTCCTCCACCCCACCCTACACTGTGACCCTCCTCCACCCACCCTACCCTACACTGTGACCCCTCCCACCCTCCACCCCACCCTACACTGTGACCCTTCCTCCACCCCACCCTACACTGTGACCCCCTCTCCACCACCCCTACACTGTGACCCTACACTGTGACCCTTCCTCCACCCCACCCTACACTGTGACCCTCCTCCACCACCCCACCCTACACTGTGACCCTGTGACCCTCCTCCACCCCACCCTACACTGTGACCCCTCCTCCACCCCACCCTACACTGTGACCCCACCCTCCACCCCACCCTACACTGTGACCCCTCCTCCACCCCACCCTACACTGTGACCCCTCCTCCACCCCACCCTACACTGTGACCCTCCTCCACCCCACCCTACACTGTGACCCCTCCTCCACCCCACCCTACACTGTGACCCTCCTCCACCCCACCCTACACTGTGACCCCCCTCCACCCCACCCTACACTGTGACCCCCCTCCACCCCACCCTACACTGTGACCCCTCCTCCACCCCACCCTACACTGTGACCCCCTCCACCCCACCCTACACTGTGACCCCTCCTCCACCCCACCCTCCACCCCACCCTACACTGTGACCCCCCTCCACCCCACCCTACACTGTGACCCCCTCCACCCCACCCTACACTGTGACCCCTCCTCCACCCCACCCTACACTGTGACCCCCTCCACCCCACCCTACACTGTGACCCCCTCCACCCCACCCTACACTGTGACCCCTCCTCCACCCCACCCTACACTGTGACCCCCCTCCACCCCACCCTACACTGTGACCCCTCCTCCACCCCACCCTACACTGTGACCCCCCTCCACCCCACCCTACACTGTGACCCCGTCCACCCCACCCTACACTGTGACCCCGTCCACCCCACCCTACACTGTGACCCCAGAGATCCTAGCACCCCACCCTACACTGTGACCCCTGTCTCCACCCCACCCTACACTGTGACCCCCCTCCACCCCACCCTACAGGGTGTGACCAGCAGAGATCCTCCACCCCACCCTACAGCTGTGACCCTAGCACCCCACCCTACAGTGTGACCCCGTCCACCCTACTTGATGCTGCGCAGGGTCGGGATCAGACCAGAGCCTCCTAGCAGGGTGTCTGTAACAGCAGAGATCCTAGCAGGGTGTCTGTAACAGCAGAGATCCTAGCAGGGTGTCTGTAACAGCAGAGATCCTAGCAGGGTGTCTGTGACAGCAGAGATCCTAGCAGGGTGTCTGTGACAGCAGAGATCCTAGCAGGGTGTCTGTGACAGCAGAGATCCTAGCAGGGTGTCTGTGACAGCAGAGATCCTAGCAGGGTGTCTGTAACAGCAGAGATCCTAGCAGGGTGTCTGTAACAGCAGAGATCCTAGCAGGGTGTCTGTAACAGCAGAGATCCTAGCAGGGTGTCTGTAACAGCAGAGATCCTAGCAGGGTGTCTGTAACAGCAGAGATCCTAGCAGGGGTGTCTGTAACAGCAGAGATCCTAGCAGGGTGTCTGTGACAGCAGAGATCCTAGCAGGGTGTCTGTAACAGCAGAGATCCTAGCAGGGTGTCTGTAACAGCAGAGATCCTAGCAGGGTGTCTGTAACAGCAGAGATCCTAGCAGGGTGTCTGTAACAGCAGAGATCCTAGCAGGGTGTCTGTAACAGCAGAGATCCTAGCAGGGTGTCTGTAACAGCAGAGATCCTAGCAGGGTGTCTGTAACAGCAGAGATCCTAGCAGGGGTGTCTGTAACAGCAGAGATCCTAGCAGGGGTGTCTGTGACAGCAGACAGAGGTGCTGTAAACAACACAGCAGGGAGAGGAGCAGAAACACACAGGTGTCTGAGATACTTGTATCCCGGACACAGCCGCCTGTATTGCTCGCCTGGACCTCACTAATGTATCTCTCCCTCTTGTATAATGGCTACAAAATTTGATGATCCAAATTGACTGATGTCTATTTCTAAAGCACATGTGTAAACCATTCTTGTTCTTCAGGCCCATACCTGTGTACTATACCTGTGTACTATATCTGTGTACTACACCTGTGTACTATACTTGATGTGTTGTGTGTAGCGAGTGTAGCTGCCTAATAGATTCCCCTCCCTGCGTCTCGCGCCATCTAATGTTATTTTTTCTCCCGTTTTCTCTGCAGTATCGCGACAAAGAGGTATAGGTCCGCTGGCAGCCTTTATGTACTACCGTTAGAGGGGAGACTCCTTAGTTTTGGCTCTACCGGGGCTAGTGACCCCCCTTCCACGCATGCTGCTAGCCTTGTGTCTGCACCTGTTTTTCTTAGATGCTCTTGTGTTTCCCGGTTTAAGCATGGCATGACTAGAAGCTTTGTTGCGACGAGCACAGCAAACATTGTGGAAACACGGAGGTTGGGTGTTAAATGTTTGTAACACGTTTTCTTTGTTGTATTTTCTAATGTAACATAACTTGATGAATCGCAGAATTCATCAAGTTGAATTCATCGATGAATGAATTTATTCTGCTTGAAAGATAAAATGAAGTCCCTGATTTAAACTGGACAGACCATTACAGTGGTGCCACTGTTCAGTATGGTGCCAGACCTCTACAGTGGCGCCACTGTACAGTATGGTGCCAGACCTCTACAGTGGCGCCACTGTACAGTATGGTGCCAGACCACTACAGTGGCGCCACTGTACAGTATGGTGCCAGACCACTACAGTGGCGCCACTGTACAGTATGGTGCCAGACCACTACAGTGGCACCACTGTACAGTATGGTGCCAGACCACTACAGTGGCACCACTGTACAGTATGGTGCCAGACCTCTACAGTGGCACCACTGTACAGTATGGTGCCAGACCACTACAGTGGCGCCACTGTACAGTATGGTGCCAGACCACTACAGTGGTGCCACTGTACAGTATGGTGCCAGACCTCTACAGTTGCACCACTGTACAGTATGGTGCCAGACCACTACAGTGGCGCCACTGTACAGTATGGTGCCAGACCTCTACAGTGGCACCACTGTACAGTATGGTGCCAGACCTCTACAGTGGCGCCACTGTACAGTATGGTGCCAGACCTCTACAGTGGCACCACTGTACAGTATGGTGCCAGACCTCTACAGTGGCGCCACTGTACAGTATGGTGCCAGACCACTACAGTGGCGCCACTGTACAGTATGGTGCCAGACCACTACAGTGGCACCACTGTACAGTATGGTGCCAGACCACTACAGTGGCGCCACTGTACAGTATGGTGCCAGACCACTACAGTGGCGCCACTGTACAGTATGGTGCCAGACCACTACAGTGGCACCACTGCACAGTATGGTGCCACACCACTACACTGGCACCACTGTACAATATGGTGCCAGACCTCTACAGTGGCACCACTGTACAGTATGGTGCCAGACCTCTACAGTGGCGCCACTGTACAGTATGGTGCCAGACCATTACAGTGGCACCACTGTACAATATGGTGCCAGACCTCTACAGTGGCACCACTGTACAGTATGGTGCCAGACCTCTACAGTGGCACCACTGTACAATATGGTGCCAGACCACTACAGTGGTGCCACTGTACAGTATGGTGCCAGACCACTACAGTGGCGCCACTGTACAGTATGGTGCCAGACCACTACAGTGGCGCCACTGTACAGTATGGTGCCAGACCTCTACAGTGGCACCACTGTACAATATGGTGCCAGACCACTACAGTGGTGCCACTGTACAGTATGGTGCCAGACCACTACAGTGGCGCCACTGTACAATATGGTGCCACACCACTACAGTGGCGCCACTGTACAATATGGTGATAAATCTTGCTATGTACATACCATTGTACCAGGCTCATCTCCAGCAAGAGCCAGGAAGGTACCAGAACTTCACATTCCTCCGTCAAGGCTTCAACTAACACATTAACTATCCTCTATTAAACTCACAGTTACCTCACAAATATTAATTTTATTTTAAAAGGGAAAACTGCGTTGGTTTCCTCCTTAGTGAATAGTGTTACTTTTCATCATGATCAAGGAGCACTTGAGGCCTCCAGATGTGTGTTGATACTAACTCTTGAGGGAATTAAGAATCTCGGACCTATCATTAGTGTGTTCAGAAGTGACCCATCTTCGACTATATTATAACTTCTCTAGTAACTGTCGGAACATGAACGTGAACGTTCATGGAGAACATGAACGTGTTCTCCACACACGTTCATACATGACTATACCATCACAGAGAAAGGCAGTTTGTAATATGAATACATGTATAATGTTGTAAGGTATGACATTCATGTATAATGTATGATATTCATATATAATGTTAGAAGGTGTGATATTTAACTAATCAAGTGAGGATGCAGGCTTGAGGAGTGAGGTATTGACAGGTGAGGAGAGACCCAGCTATTGTGCATGTCAAGTGTGGTGAGTATTGAGGCGCCACACTCGCACCTCACCTCGCCTGCAACTGCACAAGGTGTGCATGCCTTATTCAGTCTATTGCTGTTCCCGCCAGACCAATATACAACACAGCGGGCCCCTGAGCAATTGGTATACATTCTTTGTTACCGCATAAATATTGCTTTCATAGTCAGGCGATGAGTCACAATAACGTGGCTGAAGTATGTTGACCAGACCACACACTAGAAATTGAAGGGACGACGACGTTTCGGTCCGTCCTGGAACATTCTCAAGTCGATTGTGATTCAATCGACTTGAGAATGATCCAGGACGGACCGAAACGTCGTCGTCCCTTCAATTTCTAGTGTGTGGTCTGGTCAACTTGCTTTCATAGTATCATGTTATCGCTCTATTATTATTATTGCTTTTGAATCTCTCCTAAACCATTGTATGGAGGGAAGACATCAATATGTTTAAATTACCATAGTTGTCCCTAAACAACGACGTTTTCTTATAGACCGTTTTCTTATAGACGTGATGCCAAACATTGCCATTTTCTGAGAATTATTATTAGCCTTTTAAATCTTTTACTATAATCCTACTTAATGGCATAACTAGTATCTTAATATTTATGATTTAATTGTAATCCTTTTAGTATTTCTATAATATTTATTGTTGGTTTTTATTGATATTGTTCCGTTTTTTTGAAATATTGGAGGACGAGTTTGTAGGTTTTGAGGGGTAACTTGCCAAGTCATTAATCATCCCCCTGACGGAGGGAGAGCTTGGGTAGGGATCAGGGGGTGCTTAAGTTACCCCTCGACACGCACTCCTCCGTCCTCTGTTATAACCCCGTGGTTAAGACTGAGTGATTGATTGAGAGCCCCTCTCCCTCTAGTGGAGCTCCTCTCCCTCTAGTGGAGCCCCTCTCCCTCTTGTGGAGCCCCTCTCCCTCTAGTGGAGCCCCTCTCCCTCTAGTGGAGCCCCTCTCCCTCTAGTGGAGCCCCTCTCCCTCTACTGGAGCCCCTCTCCCTCTACTGGAGCCCATATCCCTCTAGTGGAGCCCCTCTCCCTCTAGTGGAGCCCTTCTCCCTCTAGTGGAGCTCCTCTCCCTCTAGTGGAGCCCCTCTCCCTCTAGTGGAGCCCCTCTCCCTCTACTGGAGCCCCTCTCCCTCTACCGGAGCGCCTCTCCCTCTAGTGGAAATACTTATCAAAAGAAGGAACCAAACTGGGAAGGCTATGTAGCACCATCAAATGTGCGAAATAATCAGAGGGCGCTAAATATCACCAAGGATGCCAATACGAGAACAGAAATGCATAAGGCGAACGATATCAAAAGTATCCGATTCACCAAGAGTGTCAAAGATTAACCCCAGAAGCTTAGCGGAATCCTTGTACACAAGGGAATGTCCATTAAGAGACAAAGAGGGACGAAGAATGACACGCTTCCGAGTAAAAATCATAGAACAAGTCTTAGACCCAGAAAACTTGAAGCCATGATCGGTGGCCCAAGATGACACGGCATCAATTGCAAGTTGAAGCCGCCGTTGAAGGAGAGGCGAATCATCACCCCGACAGCAAAGGGCAAGATCGTAGCGGAGAAGACGCCAGGAGGAAGGGAGGAAAGAAGACCATTGAGAGCAACAAGAAAAAGAGTAGTGCTCAGAACACTACCTTGGGACACACCCTCATATTGCCGAAAAGGGGCAGAGAGAGTGGTACCAAGCCACACTCGAAAGGAACGATGAGAGAGGAAACTCTGGAGGAAGAGAGGGAGATTCCCACGAAGGCCAAAAGAATGAAGTTGGGACAGAATATGATACCGCCATGTAGTGTCATAAGCCTTTTCCAGGTCAAAAAGGACGGCAACAACGGAGGTCTTCGCAGCAAAAGCAGTACGAATATAGACCTCCAAGTTCACCAGGACATCTGTTGAGCTGCAGCATTTACAAAAACCATATTGAGAAGGAGAAAGGAGGTGATAGTGCTCTAAGAACCACATCAGACGAACGTTAACCATACGTTCAAAGAGCTTGCTGACACAACTCATGAGGGCAATAGTGCGGAAGTCCTTGCGGGAAAGACCCGAGAGATCCTGGTTTCCGAACAGGGAGGACAACAGCATCGAGCCAGTCCTCAGAGACTGACGACGACTCCCAGACCCGATTAAACAGACTCAGTAAATACTGAGACGAGCACGGAGGGAGATGTCGAAACATCTCATAATGAATGCCATCGATGCCTGCCACCATAGAACCGCAGAGGGCCAGGGCAGACTGGAGCTCAGAGATAGAGAAAGGATCATTATAGGGAAGGCTGAGATAGGTACAGAAATCCAAAGAACGAGATGCAAGAAGAGGCTTACGAAGAAGGAAGGATTGAGGGAGATGAGAACCAGAGTTAACAAACGAAAAGTGGGAACCCAATTCGGTCGTGACCTGCAACGGGTCCGCCACAAGAGTACCACCGAGGTGAAGGACCGGGGAGACATCAGGAACGAACTTACCCGCTATCTTGAGGATCTTCTTCCAGATCAGTGGGAAGAAGAGTTTCAGACGTGATGGTTATCTTGAGGTTATCTTGAGATGATTTCAGGGCTTTAGTGTCCCCGCGGCCCGGTCCTCGACCAGGCCTCCACCCCCAGGAAGCAGCCCGTGACAGCTGACTAACACCCAGGTACCTATTTTACTGCTAGGTAACAGGGGCATTCAGGGTGAAAGAAACTTTGCCCATTTGTTTCTGCCTCGAGCGGGAATCGAACCCGCGTCACAGAATTATGAGTCCTTTGCGCTGTCC